TATAGCTAATGAGCACTGACCAGGTGCATTAATGAGCTAAGATCACAGGTCCTTGAAAAAGATAGTGAAGTTTCAAACCCAACATTTCCATCTTGGCAGTGCAGCTTAAGAAAAATTACTTAGTCTGAACTTTTTTTTTTTTCTTTTTCTTTTATAAAATAGAAATAAGATTCACTTCGGAAGGAAGGATTTAGCAACTGGTCTGTAACCTATCTTCTGTCCCCTAGGACGTGGAGAAAGGCCCCCTGCCACTCTCTAATCCACTCTCCAAGTAAATCTGCTAATCCAACCTCATGATGGCGTTGACTAGCAGAAAGATAAGAGAGAGTCCTTACACAATGCTTTTAGTGGGCTATTCCTGGTCTGCTTAAACTGGAACGTGTAACTATAGGGATGGCCCAGTGGAAAATGTCAGTGTCAGCTACGTAATTGTCAGCGTCTGACATGAATAAAACAGCCTCCTTTATGTAAGTGATGGCCTGCTTGTCTTTTCTAGAGTCCCCATGTGTTAAATCTGGAATGGAGTCTACCCTAATATGGCAAGGAAGAACTGGAGAAGGGTCTTCAAGGTTCAGACGTCACCTGGTTCTTGTTATGATCTGCAATAAAGTCTGATTCTGGGTAAGAGCTTGGGTTTTTGTAATTTTAATTTGATAATCTGACTCTGTCATATTCACACAGTATTTTTGTGAGAACTAAGCACTTACAACAGTCCTGGCTAAGGTAAGTGCTCAACGAATGTTAGTTATCAGAAACTGGGCTGGGGACAAGTGTGACTGCCGTGGAGAGCTCAGAGCAGTGCATAGTTATAAATTCTTATGCTTTAAAGTAGAATAAGAAGATCACAGATTTGTAAAGATCTGGGTGCAAATCCTAGCTCCAACATTTACTATTTCACGTTAGGGAGCCTGGTACTTCTTTGAACTGTAGTTTACTGGAAGTGGTTAATCCTGATTTGCAAGGTTGTCATGCACACTAGGGTTACATTTGCAAGGCCACCTGCACTATATCTACAGTGAAGCTGATGCTTAAGAAAGTTAAAGTCTGGGGACCATCAGAGGGTGTAATGGTTACGTTGATGGACTCCCGTGTAATCAACTTGGTCGAATCCCAGACCCGTCAGCTTAAAACACACTGGCCGTGTGTGTGTGCCTAAGATCCCGAGAGGAGAATGGAGGAAAAGAGATTGTGTCATGGCCATCCCCCTTGGGAAGCGATTTCTTGCTTTTTGTCTTTCCAGTGAGCACTCGTGCCTTATAGCAAAAATCTCTCTCTATATATAAATAAATAAATAAGTAAATAAATGAATAAAGTTAATGCCTGAATGCCTTTATGAGGTTAAACTGAATAAGTATGGCAAAAACTGGGCAAAGAGTAGGGTGGGGACTGGGGAGACCTAAGTCATCATCTCCGGGTTTAACCAATCAATCACTTTTGGAATGTCCTGTGGGTTCCAGCACCTCCCTTCTCCACAGTTTTAGATCTTTAGCTGTGACCATGCCTGCTCTGGCCCCTTGTTCATTGGAATACTCATAAATCCTTGTAGAGTTGAGGTCAGCGCTGGGCAATTGGGGCAAATTGGTGCTTAAGGCACAGACTCTGCACCCAGATCTAGCCATGTGACTTATTCTCACCTTTGGAATCTGAGTGCAAGAGATGGTGTTTCCCTGGGTCAAAGACCTTGAGAAGCTCTTTCCAGTCTTTCTTCCTCCTGCCTATTGGATGCAGAAGGCAATGAGACCCCAGGGACAGGTGGAGCCATAATACAGAAGGAGCCTGGGTATGTATCTCCCATCTACCTGGGACACCAGGTGAGAAACAGATGTCTATTGTGCTCAGTCATTGTCACTTGGTGGTGTATTTGTTAGCCAGAGAGCATTATGCTGATCAATACATTACTGGTAAAGGACTCAGAACTTAGATGACACAACAAACAGTCAAGGCACATTGCTCAAGAGCACGTTAGTAAGGGTGATTGGTCTTGGTCGGTGGCTTTTCAAATTAGTAAGTTTGGGGTAGGAATGACAAGACTGTATCTGGTTTGGCAATTAAGGGGCTGCTGAGTCAGTCGCACACCATGTGTTTGTTGAATGGATTAAAGAATGAATGCACGTGATAAAAACACACACTCTTCAATGTTGACATAAAGGCTTTAAAAATCAGGTTCTACTTTATCTCTCTTCTGCCTCCTCCTCTTCTGCCAGCCTCCCAGCTTGTCATAGAGCAGGTGCTTGGTAAACGTTTGAGAAACTGACTTGAATGGAATTAAACTTATTGCTAGTAAAGTTCTAAGAATAAAGTATTTTGGTATCATTTTATCTAATCCCTTTACTTCACGCAATTGGCGAATGCCACCTCCACATTTTTACTGATACATTAAACTTCTGTGGCCTCTTCCAAGAGCTGTAGAGATTCTGGGAGCCTTTATTTCCCTTTCTCTCTCCCTCAGCCACCAAGGTTTCACTTTGAAAAACTCTGTCGCCAGGTCAGCAGAGTTATACTCTGTGCTCACAAAAGCACACATTTTCCCTTTCTGGCTTTTTAATCAATTATTTCATTGGCTCTTGAACGAATGTTTTATGGGGCAATGCATGTGTTAAAATTCAGTGAGCCATCATGAAGGTATTAAGAGAATGGGAACCCAATTCATCTATGAGATTGACAGGTGGAGCCTTTTAAAGGTGATCAGATGGGATCCCCCAACACCTACACACTGGTGGGTTTCAAAGGAGACCCATTTTTGTCCTTGCACAATTTTGATTCTCAGCATAAGACCGTGAACCACAAACGAGTTCCTTTTGTGGAGCTTACTTTGCAGTGGGGTGAGTACACATTGAACCAAGCATCAGCAGACTGCAACCCATGGGCCAGATCTCGTCTACTGCCTGCTTTATAAATAAAGATTTATTGGAACATTGTTGCATCATCCTTTCATGCATTGGCTAGTGTGGCTCTAACATCACAGAGTAATTGCGACAGAGACTGCATGGCATGTAAAGTGAAAATATTTATGGCCTGGCCCTTTATAGAAAAAGCATTCTCATCTTGCATTAAATGACCAAGAATGCAAGAAATAGAGCCAACGAACAATGCTGTGAAGGAAGTAAAGAGGATGATGAAATAATGTGTGTGTGTGTGTGTGTGTGTGTGTGCTGATTTTAGATTAGGTGGTCAAGAGAAGCATCACTGAGCAGGTGACCTCTCAGATGGGATGTCCACACCAACCTATAAGCTTCTTGAGAGAGAGATTGCCTCTCCCTGGGCCTGCTCACTAGTGTCCCCATGCTAGTGCAGGCCCCGGGCTGGCCACCTCTGGGGCACTGAGATGTACGCTGCCCATGAACTGGTGTTGCAGACTAAACACACCGACTCCCTGAATCCACTGTGACTGTGATGTGCGCCCCTTGCTCGTTGTCCTGCTATTGAGTCAGTGGAAAGTCATGATATATTTTTCTATGCAAAATTGTGTCATGACTTTTCTGAAGACCCAGTAGTCCTAGCTGTGCCTGAGAGGTGCCTTCGTCTTCCTCCAGCCTTCCTACCATGGCCTCAGCATGGTGTGGTCATGTGTGCACATTTGTGTGCACTGTGGACCTGCCCACTCTACCATCTTATCATAACCCTGATGTCTCGGGTGGGGACAAATGCCTTTCACCAATCACAAATACGATAGTGCCTGAAATAGGATGGTTCATGGAAACCAGTGAGGCAACAGAACAAGTTCAGTTCTATTTGTTCTGATAGAAACTTAGTGTTGCTTTCATCAACACAGAAACCAAAACAAAGAATAGCTATAGACATCTTCTTGTAGAGAGCATATGGCCATGTGAGATCCTGACCTAGACACACCTTCTCAGCCCCACCTTGGTCTCTAATGGAGGCCCCTGTTGGACACACACAGGAGGCCAGGGACTAGCCAGATCCTCAGTCTCATTCCACCCTTGACATTTTACAGATGGAGAAACTGAGGCCCAAGAACAGGAAAGGTCTTTCCCTTGACCCATGGCTAGGAAATAGCAGGGCCGGGGCCAGAATGGAATCCTGAGTAAAGTGAGGCTCAGAATTCTCCAGACTCCATACTTATGCAAGTGATGGGTAGGGGCTTGGGTCCACTAGTCAGACATCTCCATCACCTGCTCACTCTGTGCAAGTCATCTTCCTTCTGTGCCTACTCTAGAACTGCCACGAGTCTTAAACGAGTCAACACATGTGGAGTTCTTAGCCAAGTATGGTATATAATAAGTGATCAATTAACATTACCATTAGCTTCCATACTGCTATGGTTTGACTGCATTTTCCCAAAATGCATGTGCTAAAATTCAGCGAGCCATTGTGAAGGTATTAAGAGAATGGGAACCCAATTCATCTATGAGATTGAGAGGTGGAGCCTTTTAAAGGTGATCAGATGGGATCCCTCAATACCTGCACACTGTTGAGTTTCAAAGGAGAAGGACTGAAACCAGGGCAGAGACGTGAATGCAGACATGCTCTGCTCTTGCTCTGTCTTGTCATGTGACCCTTTGTTTCTACGGGAAGATCCTCAGCAGAGCAGCCCCTGCACCTGGGTCATCTAAATGTGAACCAAGTAAACCTCTATTGTCATAAATCTCCCAGACTCGGGTGTTTCTGTCATTGGCAACACAATGGACTAAAACACACACTAAACCTTCATTGTGGGCATGGTTGTAACTTGGTTATCTTTGATTCATAACAAACCGGTCCTGGCTCACAGTCCTTATGAGGGTTAGTTGTTACTGTTGTATGTTGTTATCCACTGCTATTATCTTGGGGTGAGCACATTACTACTATCCGTGGGGTAGAATGAAGGCAGTGAACTGCATTTTAATGGAGTCAGAGGGAAGAGAGGGATACCTTGTTTCTGTCAGGCTTTGCTTCTTTCTGCACCCTGGACCTCCCCTCTGTTACAAGAGGGGCCTCCTGATCTGGTGGTGCCGTGAGACCCCAGAAGTGGAGGTGAGGAAGGAGGGCACGGCCCTTACCTGGCCCACTGCAGAAAGAGGCGATGATGGCCAGGATGCCCACGATACTCAAGTAAGGGATCCAGGGAGCGTGGTCCTGAAAGAGAACAGCGACATGGGCAAGTGAGGAGGTGGGGGCATCCAGAGGACATGGGTTCCTACTGCAGCTGCCCCTCAATCCTCCTGCATGACTGTGGACAGGTCGATTATGTCCTGAGCCCCATTTTCAGTCTCTGTAACATGGCAGTAGTGATAACCCGTCTTCCCATGTGCATATTTTACAGATATGACGATGCCCACAGAGTCTCACACAGTCCCAGCATACTGGAAGTAGGAATAATGAATAACTCATATTGCCTGAAGCAGGCAATATGAGACGATTTTATAGGCATCAGCACATTTTAAAACATTTTTCTTAGTTATTACTATTATAATATAAAACACTGAATTAAGTTATTTTCAAATTTCCTCTGAGAAAGGAGAGAAAGAGAGAGAGAGAGAGACTGACCCTCCACACAGGGTCTTCAATAGCAAGCCACCCCCCAGCTCAGCCGGTCCTGCATCCTGGGCAAGGGCACACCTGGCATGTTCAGGGAGGCCCCCGGATGCGAACCAGGGAACTTTCCACGTGGGTCCACATTGTGTTAGATGCTGTAAAGTATTGTGCTACCACTGCGCCACTGCCCAACCCCGATAAACCACTGTATTTATACTTTTGCCATCCTGAAAAGCATGAGATAATTCACGTCACGGAATACGAGTCGTAGGAATGGAATGGCTTGATGGTGGGTGTGGAAGGATGTTGGCTCCTCCTCTGCAGGTGGGGCGGTTGATTAATAGAATGTGATCCTGCCAGTTTCTGAGACACAGGGAGTGTGTGTAAGTGCCAGGGCTGCCTCAGGAGGGGCATCCGATGTCATCGCGGGAGGCAGAGGGAAGGGAAGAGCCCAGGCTCACCTTGGAAGGCTAAGCTGGTGTCAGCTCAATGGGAAAGGAAAAGAAAGAGAAGGGAAGGGAAGGGGAGGAAAGAGGAGGGAAGGGGAGGGGAGGGGGGGGAAAGAGATTCTATGAGAGGGTTCAACATGGACAAGGGCACAGAATCATGGAAGAGTTTGGTGCCAGAGCAAGTGGCAGACAGTTCAGAGTGGAAGGCAAGGAGTACAGAGGGGAAACAGAGGAATGAGGAACGCCTTCCTCCTTTCCTACTCTGTGTCAGAGTTCATCGGCTCTTGCTCTGGGAGGATCTAGGGGTTGGGAGGAGCTTTGCAGACACTGCTACACTGTGTGGCTCACTTGTGCACTGAGGTCCTCACTCTTCATTCAGCTGAGGGGTCTGAACTCCACCTGTGTGTGGTGCACTGGGCTGGGAAGTGGAAATGCATGCAGGACCCTCCTCTAGTCACTGGAGAGAGAGAGGAGAGAGAGAGAGAGAGAGAGAAGTCAACAGTGAATGTCAATGCTGCGTGGTGAGTGATCTCACAGGGAGCCCCCCTAGAGTCTACGAGGACACAGATTTGGGGGTCAGGGACAGTTTCCTGAAGGAAAAAATATTCAAGAGTATCCAAGGCTTCCTGAGTTCAGAAAGCAAAGAGAATCCAATTGAGCAAAGTAGGCCCCAGGAGAGGAGGCAGCTGGCCACCGTGGGGAGCGATGAGGGGGCAGGAGATAGTGCACTGAGGGGACAAGGGTGGGTTGCACAGGGGAGCTCTAAGCACTGGTGAAGCCAGGCTTGGATGGGCTCCCTGTGTTCCCGGCAGCCCTTTCAAACATCCCACAGAGAAGCAGAAAGACAGTGCCCAGCTGGCTTCTCCACAACCTGAGGTCCAAGGGGCCTGCAAGCCACCCCTGCTCAGGACTACCTTGGGCCAGCCATTGGGAAGGAGCCATCTCTGCCAGCACATTGCCCAGAGGGAGACGCTTCCACTCCTCCTGGCCAGTGGTCCCCAGAACCCCTCTCTCTGGAGGACAGCCCATTGTCCACCAGATGCCACCACGCCGACGTCTCCTCTCGTCTAGGAACATTTGGAACACTGAGACACTTGGCAGGTGATTAACAGGCACCATTTTTAGTTTTGGAATTTATTTTTGAAAAACTAGAAGATTAATTGATTGCTGCAACCATGTCTCATGCTTCTGGTTGTGCTGAGATGGGGTTGCGACACCACATGAGTGCTCAGTTTGTGTGGGCTACCCTGAGCAGTGCGGGGGAGGAGGGGGGAAATACGTGTGGTTTGAAACTCCAAGATGCGGGGGTCTGATCTGAGCTCTGTCATCTTATGTGTGGGCTACCCTGAGCAGTGCGGGGGAGGGGGGGAATACATGTGGTTTGAAACTCCAAGATGCGGGGGGTCTGATCTGAGCTCTGTCATCTTCTAGCTGTGTCAGCTTCGGCAGCTTCATCATTTCTGTTTATGCCTCAGTTTCCTCATCTCCATAAAAGGAAAAACATTCTAATTTTTTATGGGAATACGTGGCTGTTTCTTCCCTCAAACATACATCAGCCCATTGTCCCAAGTGCTTTAAGTGCACTTTCTCACTTAACCCTCACGACACTCCTAGATTTAGGGACCCCGTTTTAGAGAAGGGGTACTGAGAGTGTAGAAAGCACTAGTGATTTGCCTGAAGCGTTGTGCTGAGCACACAGAAAAGCCAGGGTTCAAACACAGCGGTGGTGCCGGAGCCCAGCTGTAACCACCTTGCAATGGTGTGATGACTGAGGAAGTGCCCAACACGCAGTGCCTGGCACCTTATTGTGGAACACGAGAGCTGAAAGGGGCACCTTGGGGTTATCTATCCCGTAGATGGGTAAACTGAGGCTTGAGGAGGCACACACTGCCTAAGGTGACACAGTTCACTGAGGCACTGAGGATCAAAGGTCAGGTCTGTCACTTCTCAGTTTAAGGACCCGCCACCAAACCCTCTTCCCTGAGGGTTCCCAGCAGCCCTAGAGCCGAGATTCCCAATCGGGGAGCCGTTGGGAAAGCTGTCCACAGATACTACGAAGCCCTCTCAAGCGATGGGCCCCAAAGTGACAAAGTCAGAAACCAGCTCCATGTTGACCCTCCATCAAGGTGTGACAGAAACATCCTCTCACCTGCAGCGTCAGCGTGATGGTAAGGATCCCAAAGAAGAAGGCCATCAGCCCAAAGCCACCAATAAGGAGAGGTCTCCGTCCCAGGCGCTCGATGACCAAGCCCTAATCCAGGATAAAAGAGACAGAGCATTATTATTATCCCACTTTTGGCAGCAAAGGAGATGGCGGCGCTGGGAATCGGCAATGGGATGACGGGGCTTTGCCAAGACAGCCCAGGCACGTTCTTCCACCCCAAAAGCCAGCAAAAGCACTGTTCTCTGTGAGAACCAAGAGAGGGAGGGAGGGAAGCAGCAGTTCCTACGCACTGACTGCGTGCTGATACATTCACCCTTCCTCCTAATCTCCCTTCTGCTAGGGGATCTGGGAGAAGGAACCAGGTGAATGTGGTCACCGTGGTCCTTTCCCTCCTTCAGAGCCAACCTACCACAGAAAGCTACCTCTCGGTGCCTGCATGGCGCAAACTTCAGAGATTGTGGGATTTGTCAGGAGCCACAGAGAAGGCCCGCTCGGTGGTGCAGTAATGCGCTGCTCAGGCAATGCTGGGTCCACATGAAGGGTCGTGGGTTTGGCTCTCTGCTCTACCTGTAAATCTGGGCGTATACCTGTGATCCTGGCTGGGAAGGCTGTGCAGAGCCCGGGTGGAGGAAATCAAGATGTGAGACCCTGCTGTGGTCTTCTCTTTCTGTCTATGTCTCTCACACTCATGAAAGAGTTAAAAAGAAACATTAAAAAACCTAGGGGCCAGCAGGTAGCATGGTGGTTAAGGGGCTGGACTCCCACCAGCTGACTGTGGTTTGAGTCCCAGACCTGGTGGCTTGCTTTCTCATTTTCCCTCCCTCTCTTTCTTTCTCTCTGGTGAGTACACAAGCCCCATGGCAAACTTTAA